TATCTTTAATTGCTGAAGTTTTGTTCTGTTATTTAAATTAATTTTGCAAATATTGTTCATACTTGTCTATATAAACTTAGCTTGCCTTTGGATAACATACCAAATGGGCATTTGTCCAGATGTGTTTTGGTTGATAATGTATTGAAGCTAATAGCAAGGCTTACTATCTTTGTGAACAAGAAAAAAGTCTTACCTGAAATATATACTGTCATATATACTGTGTTGGTTTTATTCCTAATTATCATGAACGAAGGACATAGTCTCTTAGAGAAGCTTTATAATTCCTGTTACCATTACTTATGTGACTAAATCGACTGGATGTTCTTGGCTATCACCCGTATATTGAATGAATTCTGAAGAAAGTCCTAGTGAGAGAGAAAGCAAAGGTCAGATTTGGCCAACATGTCTCTCTTTGTCAAAGAGCAGAATTCGGTTCCCATGCTTAACTAGTTTATCTGGTATTTAATTAATGAAGATAGAGGTATTGAGAACCAATATATTTAATAAATTATTAAACTCAGCAAATTACGTGAATTGCTTTCTAACCACAGATTTTGTATGTTTAGCTTATAGGAATGAAGCAGTTTCTCTTGATTAGTGCTTTTGAATAATGATGGGAATATTTTGCATTTGTTTTGGTTGAAAGATTATTTGAGTCAGTACAGAGCAGATGGAGCCTCTGACTGTAAAGAGTGATTTTCAGTATGGCAGGACAGGAAGTGTCTGTTTAAATATTTATATGATATCTAAACAATGGGCCTAAACCATTGTTTTGCCCTTGTGGAGCATAGTGATTAAAGGAAAAACTAGTTTACCTCTAAATATTCCATGGATAAATTTGCTTCCTGGGAGGACAGGAAAGGGGAGAAACGCCAAAACCAAACAATACCCCAAAAACCAAAAAACGCATGAGAGAGGGTAATGCTCTGAAATGAAGAGTACTGGGGTGTGAAGCCGCTATTCCTGTTGAGGGTGGGAATTGTTTTCTAATTAAAAAGTGAAACTATTATGGTGCATCTCTAATTCAGATGGTGTCAAGAACCAAGAAGTTATGGGAGTGGTTGAGGCAAATACTTCTTAAAGAATGAAACTACTAAACTAGGATGGTGCTGTTAAGGACAGATTTGCTAGGGTTGCAGAACTGTAAAGTCTCTCTCTGGGGATAGTGTGGGGCTTTTTATACTTCTATTTCTCTTCTCCTGAGAACACTCTGATTTACTTTTGCAATAAACCCGTAACAACAGGGGGATCACATTGCTGAGATGAGTTTAGCTGGAAGGGATACATAATGTCGGCTGAAAAATAACACTTGGTAAATATGTTTTGGCCATGGTTCAGCAAAAAGTAGATCCTGTCAGCTAAGTAACATTCTGTTTTCTTGAAAGTGTCTTTTAGTTGAGCAGAATCGTGCAGTCTGCTTTTTTTGGAGAGGAAAAAAAAAAAAGTAAGCACTGGTTTGTCTTGGGTGCTACATATGTGGTCCTGACAAGGCTAACACGGACCACTTCAGTTTTCAATACATTTATTCTCTGATCTATCTCTGATTTCCCTTGACCTGGGAAAGTGTTGCCAGGTGTGGGGAAGTGGGTAATGTCTAAGTCTACATCTCAGTCCTTTGGGTCCTGGGTGGGGACATAGCCTTCAAGAGTCTGTATTACTGTGGGATGCTCAGCTGGCATCTGTTCTGTCTACGCCATCTGCCCATGCAAAGTCAAGGCCCTTCTGAATTGTGAGATCAGAACAAGGGAAAATGAAATAGGTAGATATTGGAAGGCCAGATAAAGTATGCCTGCCTTATCCATATTCTCATAGGTGGATGCTTGGGTCTGTGCTATGTTAACTGGACCACTTCCTAAGAATAAGAAATCTTGTATGCAACACCTAGCCACTGTCACATGGTGCAGACATTTTCAATATTAGAACCTGCACTGAAGTTTCTAAAGCTGTGAACATATTATGGAAACAAGTGTTTCTGTCTGGGCTTCAGATGGTAGTAACTGTGGGAAAGTCATTTATGTATTTTAGAAATGTAAAAATTACATCCCAAAGTAAACATTCCAGCAGAAATAATCTGGCCTTGTTTTTTTCTCAGCCAGTGAACTAGGAAAGCATCGTTGTGTAAGTACACTGTAAGCTAGGAAATTTTCATATGAACAGTTCTGTGTTTATGACCATACTCAGAATAGCAGCCTCTCCAGAGGAGATGTCAGACAATCTTCCTGTTCTTTCTTCCTTGCTCTTGTTGAAGCACCAAACCATATGGCAAACTAAGCCCGGTTTTTATTAAACTTTTCATTGTACTGAGCTTAGTGTGAACTGGGAAATGCGCTTTCTTTGAACTATGCAGCCGTTATATAAGCATCTTAATTAGGAGATGTTAATGGTCTTCCTTACTTTGCTGGGAGTTCGTAGCTCCCTCTTGTGGCTGATGAAACGTTTTAAAGAGTCAGACTTCGGAAAATTACTTTTTGTGCGACCACCATTGCTCTTGAACAAACGACGGAGTGGTACATGGAGCATCTGTAACTTGGGCTTCTTATTACTATATCAAGTATAAGTCGCGGTGCAATAACTAGATGCATAGACTGGTAAATAGAGAGGAGAGAAGCATCTGCAGATACTTGCACAGTGAATGTGACGGCTTCCTGAAGCTTTTAAAAAGCTGAACGGACACATCCAGTTATTTACAAAAACCTCTGTTGTCTGGTAACTCTGTTGGTCCTATACATTATATGCTGAAGAATGGTTTTACAGCTAATGTGAGGATGACATGTGGGATATGTCATAGATCTAAGGAGTACAAATCTTTCAAGTACCACACTGGGATATGTTGCCATCAAACTCAAGGTTAAGATCTTTGCCAGATTTGGACTTGAGAGGAAATTTTCCCTCCAGTCAGGTTTGCAGGGACCCTTATTACCGTTGTTGTTATTACACTCCTGCCTTTCTGTCTAGTGTGGAGGAAGATCTATATATGATTTTCTATAATTTTTCTGATAAATTCCCTGGCAGAGCCCATGATTTTTTTTGCTTTCTTTCTGTGGCTTGTTACAACTGGGGCATTGCACCTATACAACATCTTAAATTTGTCATAAACAGTTAGGTAATGTTTGGCTGTGGTGGAAATGGCTGTTGTGTAGACATCTCTGAATTAGATTTTTGTGCTGGCCTGTGGCTGACTTCAGGCCTTTCGAACCACTGTTCTTGTATTGGGTGGGAAGGCACACTTGTCTTGTAATAAGTCTCAGAAATAAGGGCAGAAGACAATCAATTCATAAAAAAAACCGACAAAACTGAGCAATGGTCATGACATTGCAAAATTGTAAGCATAGCTTTATGTTAAGAAAAACACATGTTTTTAGACTTGATATAAAAAATACCAGAAATTGCTCAAAAAATGAACTGAACAGCAGGTAATCTTTCAGTAGGAATCATTAAGTTTCCGTTTCATCGCAAAAACTGAAGTTACAAAGTTACTTTGCCCTTTTATCACCTGCAGAGTTGTCTGCCTCTGTGTTTTGGCATGATGTACTCAAAAATACACGAAAAGAAAACTTCATCCATTAGCGTTTATGACTTGGAGAAGGAAGAAAAAAAGGTGAAACAGGTTTTTACTTTGAAATGTCTCCCTTCCCCGAGGGGTTTGAGGATTGAAACTTTATCTCTGAAAATGCTGATTTCCTAGTTCATAACTTGTGGCAATTTTTTCGCAATTAAAATAAAGGAATAATGATTATGGAGTTAAGTCAAAATCTTACTGCCCAGTAATCTGCAAACCAGCATTGCTGAACCCACAGCAATAGGGCAACAAACATGTATTTCCTCAGGGACATTACTAAACACCTTGCATATTTATTACCTCAAAATGGGAGCAGATCCATATTTCTAAGTCCACTTTTTCCCTTCCTCTTCTTGAGCTGTAATTCAGACCAGCGTATAAATATAAGACTTAATGTTTCTGCGGAAATACTAATGATATAAAATTTCTTGAAACAAAAGAAGATGAAACAGCAGAGGGAAGGAATGGCTTGGCAAGATTGTCAGCCTTAAAGGGCAAGATTAATTTATAATCCTTCTAGATTCTGGTATACAAATACAAATTTGCAAAGCATGTAGCTTATAACAAACATTGTGTAGCTCTGGAAGTTTACATATGCTACTGTCACTAATGTGAGACAGACTTGAAATTGGATTTTTAGGGATTTTTTTCTTATGGGGAAATAAGGTAGTGATAGTAACAAGGAGTTTCCAAACACACACACATGTGTGTATATACAAATATACATATACATTTGGAAAGTGGAGGAAGTCCAGCTGTGTGACTAAGCAAAGTTCTGGGTAGGATACCCAGATATTTTCGTGAGGAGTTTTTTCCCTTGGTTTAAAATTGTGGAATAGGAGGAGTATAGAAGGAAATGGGGGGAAAAAAAAAAAAACCAATCTGAAAGTAGTCTATTTTGTAATGACATTACAATGGCTAATAAAAAGGACTGACTAATCGGAAAACAATGTGTGATGACTATCTGGTATTGTAAGGCTTGTTGTGAAATAAGTATGCTTTATGCCACTCAACGGAATATGTCTTTTTTCTTTCTTTAATTTATTTTGTAAGTTTGCAGCTGTTTTATCAATTTGACTGAAAGAAATAAATAGAATTAAATAAAATGTCAAGTTCTAGACATAGAGTGAATACAGTAGCAATGGAATAATAGAAACTCTAAGTAGTGAAATAGAAGACAGTAAAGGTAAGACAGGAACTGCCTAAGGACATGAGTAGCTTTTCCAGGGTTTAACACAAGAGTTGCACACTGTTTTCTGAATGATTGAAACCATATTTTCTAGTTATATATTGTATATTTCTATGAACCATATTTTATAGTTACATTATTGGCAGGGAATATATCATGATGTTAGGTAAAAGATTTAAATGGCTTACGTGGTTTTAGAATGACTTTAAAAGTTTTTATAATATGGCCTGTAACTTGTTTTCTGCCACACAGGTCATCAGCAGTGAAGGGACAGAAGGAGCGAAGTTTCGACTCTCTGGTAAGGGAGTAGATCAAGACCCAAAAGGAATTTTTAGAATCAATGAGATCAGTGGGGATGTCTCTGTGACCCGAGCCCTTGATAGAGAAGCCATTGCCAATTATGAGGTAAGTACTCATAGCAATAGGATCTCTGCCTCTATGTTGATGATACATATTTTTTGAATGTGTATTTGCTTTTGAGAGGGCTGCAGTTATTGAAGACTAAATTGCAGCTACTGTCCTCTAAAATTTCCAGAAGAAGTGTTTATCATTTGGAAATGGTAAATGTGTTTATTTTTACATGCAATCAAAACTACTCTGCTTTCTACATGTAATGTCTGTCATTCATCTTTAGTAGAAATACTGTGTGAACATTGTGTATGCATTTCATTTGTGAATACAAAAATATGTTTGGTCAAAAAGAGATCTTTTTGGGAAGTTGCCACTAAGGTACTACATGATTATACTTCTTTTTTATTGTCAAGCTAGTGAATGGAATATGCTATTCAACTCCTTTTTTAGTAATGGAGATCTTTTAATAGAGATAAAGAAGATTCTGTTAATATGAAAATGTTAACAGATACATCTCTGTCGGATGTATGTCTCTCAAAGATTTTACTAAATATTCCTTTCCTTGTCAATAAACACTATGTTTCTCTCCATGGAAATTCTAACAAATGACCTCTGAAATCCGCGAAGTAACTACACCACAATATCCTGATATGCATAGTATAAATAGAGGATCTGTCAATTCATGTTTTCTATCTAGCTCTTGAAATGTGCAGTTGGATAAATTATGTCTGGCCACTTTGATACAGATAAGCAGCAGAATTCCAAGTGTTAAATGGTTAGCACATTTCCCTGTTGCCACTTCTGCCACAGCATAGGGGCCTGACCTCTGTATCCTCATGCAGCAGGGAACATGTGGTCCTGCAGGCCATGTGGGATGCAGGCACTGGCGACAGTTCTGACTGTCATCCCTGACCTTCTTTGGTTTGTTTTCTGCTGTGTGGTAATCAATACTTGTACTTTCAATGCTGTTTCTCTCTTCCTCTGAAAGAGCTTGCCAGTTAGATGACTAGTCATACTTGCTCAAACAGCACTGCTAAAATCTACCATATGTTGGTTTTCAACACTTAAACATCTATTTCTCATCTGGGTCTACAGTGAAATGTATGTTAACCACTCACATAGGATTTATGGTAGTTACTGATGTCCTTCTTAAAAGAAAAACATTGCAGTTTCTCTTTTTAACACTGTTCCTTGTCTTCATTTACCAGCTGTTTCTTATTTTATCAGTGGCTTTCTACCTTAATGTGTTTAGTATAAACCTTGAATATTTTTTTTACTGGAAAATTATAGTAGTCTTTTCAACCTAATGCATCAAACCACAAATGGCCCTCCTATCTGATCTGGCAAAGTATACGCTTAAATTAAGACAAAAACATTTCCCTAGAGGAGCCTTTTGAAGCAATGCAAGTTATGTACAAATAGTGTAGCATAGCAGATTATCCAGAGCAATGTAAATGTATATCCTAATAGGCTGTAGTGCTTTCTAACCTGTTATATAGCACTCTGCTCAGCATGCTCACTGGCATCCTGTTGTGCAAAATGTAGTTGAAGAGTTCTGTAGGAGAATCCTCAACTTGATTAGTCTGTCTTTGAATCCAGCCCATAGTTTTCCAATAAAGATGCATCATGATGTCAGGAAGGCAGCAGGATTTTCTCCCTGATTTCCTTGGTACACTGAAAGATGAATTACCTGCAAGACCCTTAAATTTCTTTCAAATGTGTTTTTGTTTTCTGTTTTTGTTTGAGATTCCCCCTGCCCAGCATTGGTGTCCTGAAAGAAAAAGTTCAAAGCAAAGGGCAAACAAGGAAACAATAGATCTCCGTGAAAAAATACAAGTTCTTTGCAAGCCATCGTACTATCAAGTATATCATCAGTGGTGAGGCAAGGATAAAAAGATGAAATCTGTTTGAATCCTTCCAGCTACACAGAGGGCTGCTGTGCATGAGCACTGATTTATTTCCTACACTTAGTGCGTATATAGTCAAGGGATGAGAATTAAAAAAAGTTAATAGGGCACAAAATAGAGCTTTGTTGATCACAGTATTTCATAGAACTTTGTAGATTTTACCATCCATGTACCTCAAAATGTTTTAAATTAGCTAAGAATATTCAATCTATTATGAAAATTTATTGTTGTTTCTTTTATTGAATGTTTGAAATTCTCCTTTTTGCTGCCCTCTTTCTCCTGGAGGAATACTGAAAAACCTGTAGGAGTTTTTCTGTATATTCAGTACAAGAGAAATACGATTAAATTAGAAGAGTACTGAATTCTACTCAGACAACTGTGCATTGTCTGAGTTAATCCCTTCTTTCTACTGCTTATTTTTAAATATTTTGGTTTTAGTAAGAGACAGAAAGTATTTTAAAGGAGTGAAAAAAATCTGTCTGAGGGTCAGGACCTGCCAGCCCATTTGGTGCAGCCTGTTTGCATGGCAGTTGTGTTTTCAGATGAGTTTAGATTTTGCTTGTTAGCAAAAGAAACTCAAGCTGGCAAGAGGAATGTAAGGCAGCTACATTAATGACACCCCACCCCCATGAAACAGACTTATTTATCCATGATTTATGATTTATGCATTTATTTTTTATGAAATCAGTTAAGTTGTTAAAAAATGGACAAGTATGTGAAATTCCACCAAAATACTAATGTCAGGGTGATTAATTGCCATAGTAATTCTGACCTAATCACCTGTGCATTTGAAAAAGTGATGATTTCTATTGAGAAAATGAAACAGTTCCAGAGGAGGCTGGGTAAGACAGCCAAAAATCCAAAAGTCACAACGTTGAAATTAGTTGGAACTATGTTAATGAAATTGTGTTTGCTGATGGAAAAAGGTATATGCTTCTGGTGTGTTTGTCCCTGTAACTTTGTGGGGTGCCTCCTTAAAGGACAGAGAATGGCAGTCAGCTTCAGTTTTAAGTGAAAGCTGTTTATGAAGAAGAGCAAGAGGATGTAAAGATGTTGTTATGCCCAGCAAAGACAGAATGTTTTAGAAAAGCATGTAGTAATTCCTTTTTTCTTGTAAAGAGGTTTGATAAAGAGCATCCTGATAGGAATTCTCTAGGTCAGAGCAAACCAATGGATTTACATTGGATGGTTTTATTTTGGGGCTTGCTGCAACCTGTTGATGAAACTATTAAATGATGCTCTGAAGAAGGGGCTTCAGCAGAATATGGCCAGATTATTGAATTGCTTCTGGATTGGTGAGATAAGCAGGTAGCCTAGAGCTGGTATCTAGTGGGAGCAAAAGATGTTCAGTTGTATCAATATGCTCTCAAAAATAATGTCTTTGGTTTTCTCTCAAGATTTGAATAAATAAGACTAGTTGGAAATTTCAGACAATGGCAAATCATTTATTCATTTAGTATTGAAAAGTGCAGGTGTATAAAAACAGATGAAGAAGCTTGGTGGGGAGACTTAAGATGGATTTTCTAGACCAAATCAGTGAAGTACACACCATCCAAAAATTGTTGATACTCTCTGCAGTTCTGAGTTCACTTCAGATCCATAGTCTTTTCTAATTCTAGCAGAGCAGAAATATTGGTGAATTTTCAGTTGCATCTTTTAGCAAAAAAGAAAAAAAAAATTAAAAATCAAGTGCTTCTAAGAAGAGCTGCAATAACAGAACTAAAGGATTCCAATGAAGTTATTCCAATGAAGTTGGAAGTCTAGTTGTGCTAAGTGTTGATAGAGGACTAGTGAATTGGGAAACAAATGTTCAAATAGAGGGCTAGTGAAGACTGGCTGAAAGACAGTGGTTATGGGGTAATCTGTCAATTAAAAACACTGGGATCATTTTCAAAACCTCATGTTTACATAGATAATGTGTTCGTAGGCAGAATGCTTTCATGCAAGTAAAAGCAGGAAGAGTTGCATATATTGATTACCATGACCAAGATGACAAAAATTGCTAAGTTAACTATGCTTTGTTCTTTACTCAAAGTTAGGTAGGCTCAGAAGAAATGGGAACAATATTCCATTAACTTTTTACAGTTAATGCCTGTGATTTCGGTTAGGCATTCCTTTGGTACAGGACAAAGCCTGAAGTTGTATAAACTTGTTTCCCATCATTTATTGCTGCATGTAATCCCTGCAGCAGTAATATCCAATTCTGTAACCTCTTAAGCATCAGTGGCAAAGTGCTAACCAGTCAATGGGGTCTTTCAGCTGGGTTTCAAGATTTTAAAGGATGTTGCCATCGTTGATAGGCTTTTTCATAACTGCTTGCCAAGTGTAAATATATGTGGAAGAGAAATAATCAGAAAGTGATCCTTTGCAAGCAAGAAATGAAGAAGCTTGATAAAACTGTTCAGTGACAGTGTGCGAATAGAGCTGTGACCAAATTTACCTAGGCAATTTGAACTGTTAATGAAGAGTTAGTTTAAATTATTTTTTAAGTAAAGAGCTTTATTTACTTTAGAAAATACTTAACGAGCAGAGGTGTGAAATCAGCTTTCAGCTTTTTTTTTATAATGACAGATCACGCTTCTGTGAAAGGATGCCTTGCAACTGGTAGTGGCAGACTGAGATATTTAGAAAACTTAACAGTTAACAGGAGTGAAACACAAATTAAGAGTATTCACTTTATGTAGTTTTGTTTCTGTATGTTGGATAACAAGTAGACTGAGAACAGGCTAAAGAATTCAGACCAATCAATGGCAACCAAATCTCTAGTGTGAACTTCTTCGGTTTAGGTTACATGAGACTAAGCCAAACATCTAGGGTGATGCTGCAGTCCTAATGGACTCTATTTCTGTGTTTGATATGGACAAATAATGGAAATGTTTCATAATCGTGAGGAAAACTGGCTTGGTCAGGTGCCAAGGCATGTTTTGTGAGAAAGATTTTTTTTAAGTACTTGAATGCATTTTTTTTCAGATGCTGAAAGTATTACTGTAGCAAAAAACTAGAAGTGAACAGCTGTAATTTATCCTGTACGGAAGAATGAATTTGTCTTCTGTGCAAGTCCGTTTTAGTGCAGCCACATCCTTTTTGGGAAGATTTATCATACTCTGATACTGAATCTCAGCAATATGCAGTGAAGAGAGATATAGA